CTTAATCTTGAGTAAAACAGTTTATTTGTTTTGGATTGTGATATTTTTAATTATAAAAACTAATTAAAAACAATAAAGCTCTTTTTTTTTTCTTTTGCTTGCTTTTTTTTGTTCTTTCTTTGTTAATTTAGTTCATCATTTTATTTTCAACTTTTATTTTATTATTATTAATTTTATTATTTCATATTTTTTCTTCATTTTTTCCTTCTAATTAACTATTTAATGATATATTTTTTTTCAATATTTAAAAAGAAGAAATAGAATTGGCAATGAAGGTGCATCAGACTTAGGTTCTGCTTTGGCAAATTGTATTAATCTCTCAAATTTGACACTTAATCTTGGGTAAAAACAGTTTATTTGTTTTGGATTTTGATATCTTTCATTATAAAACTAATTAAAAACAATAAAGCTCTTTTTTCTTTTTCTTTTTATTGTGCTTGTTTTTTTGTTCTTTCTTTGTTAATTTATTTTATCATTTTATTTTCAACTTTTGCTTTTACTATTAATTAATCTTATTATTTCATATTTTTTCTTCATTTTTTCCTTCTAATTTACTATTTAATGATATATTTTTTTTCAATATTTAAAAAGTAGAAATTATATTGGTGACAAAGGTGTATCAGACTTAGGTTCTGGTTTAGCAAATTGCATTAATCTCTCAAATTTGACACTTAATCTTGGGTAAAAACAGTTTATTTGTTTTGGATTGTGATATCTTTCATTATAAAACTAATTAAAAACAATAAAGCTCTTTTTTCTTTTTCTTTTTATTGTGCTTGTTTTTTTGTTCTTTCTTTGTTAATTTATTTTATCATTTTATTTTCAACTTTTGCTTTTACTATTAATTAATCTTATTATTTCATATTTTTTCTTCATTTTTTTCCTTCTAATTAACTATTTAATAAAATATATTTTTTCAATATTTAAAAAGTTATTATTAAATTGGTTCAAAAGCTGCATCAGGCTTAGGTTCTGCTTTAGCAAAGTGCATTAATCTCTCAAATTTGAAACTTAACCTATAGTAAAAACAGTTTATTTGTTTTGAATTGTGATATCTTTAATTATAAAAACTAATTAAAAACATTAAAGCTCTTTTTTCTTTTTCTTTTTATTTTGCTTGCTTTTTTTTTCTTCTATCTTTGTTAATTTAGCTTATCATTTTATTTTCAACTTTTACTTTTATTATTAATTTAATCTTATTATTTCATATTTTTTCTTCATTTTTTCCTTCTAATTTACTATTTAATAATATATATTTTTTCAATATTTAAAAAGTCATAATTCAATTTATGACGAAGGTGCATCTGGCTTAGGTTCTGCTTTAGCAAAGTGCATTAATCTCTCAAATTTGACACTTAACCTATAGTAAAAACAGTTTATTTGTTTTGGATTGTGATATTTTTAATTATAAAAACTAATTAAAAACAATAAAGCTCTTTTTTCTATTTCTTTTGCTTGCTTTTTTTTGTTCTTTTTTTGTTAATTTAGCTCATCTTTTTATTTTCAACTTTTACTTTTATAATTATTTAATTAATCTTCTTATTTCATATTTTTTCTTCATTTTTTCCTTCTAATTTACTATTTAATGATATATTTTTTTTCAATATTTAAAAAGTAGAAATTATATTGGTGACAAAGGTGTATCAGACTTAGGTTCTGGTTTAGCAAATTGCATTAATCTCTCAAATTTGACACTTAATCTTGGGTAAAAACAGTTTATTTGTTTTGGATTGTGATATCTTTCATTATAAAACTAATTAAAAACAATAAAGCTCTTTTTTCTTTTTCTTTTTATTGTGCTTGTTTTTTTGTTCTTTCTTTGTTAATTTATTTTATCATTTTATTTTCAACTTTTGCTTTTACTATTAATTAATCTTATTATTTCATATTTTTTCTTCATTTTTTTCCTTCTAATTAACTATTTAATGAAATATTTTTTTTCAATATTTAAAAAGAAGAAATAGAATTGGCAATGAAGGTGCATCAGACTTAGGTTCTGCTTTAGCAAAGTGCATTAACCTCTCAAATTTGAAACTTTACCTTTAGTAAAAACAGTTTATTTGTTTTGAATTGTGATATCTTTAATTATAAAAACTAATTAAAAACATTAAAGCTCTTTTTTCTTTTTCTTTTGCTTGCTTTTTTTTGTTCTTTCTTTGTTAATTTAGCTAATTAACTATTTAATGATATATTGTTTTTCAATATTTAAAAAGAAGAAATAAAATTTGTGCAAAAGGTGCATCAGGCTTAGGTTCTGCTTTAGCAAATTGCATTAATATCTCAAATTTGACACTTGACCTTTAGTAAAAACAGTTTATTTGTTTTGAATTGTGATATCTTTAATTATAAAAACTAATTAAAAGCAATAAAGCCCTTTTTTCTTTTTCTTTTGCTTGCTTTTCTTTGTTCTTTCTTTGTTAATTTAGTTCATCATTTCATTTTCAACTTTTACTTTTATTATTAATTTAATCTTATTATTTCATATTTTTTCTTCCTTTTTTCCTTCTAATTTACTATTTAATGATATATATTTTTCAATATTTAAAAAGTGAAAATTAAATTGGTGACGAAGGTGCATCAGGCTTATGTTCTGGTTTAGCAAATTGCATTAATCTCTCAAATTTGAAACTTAACCTTTAGTAAAAACAGTTTATTTGTTATGGATTGTGATATTTTAAACTATAAAAATGAATATAAAACAAAAAACTCTTTGAATTTATTTGATATCTTTTATTTATTTTATTTTTTAATCTTTTTTATTTCACTTATAATATATTATTTATTAATTTAAAGAATAATTTTTAATTTAAAAGTTTATTCTATTTTGATATTTATCTTAAAATTTACACAAATTTATTTTAAAACTTTTAGCTCAATGAATAAATCATAAAAATTCAAAGTAATAAGCAAGTGTTGTAAATCAAAAAGATTAGTTGTCTTTGATATCTAATGATAAACAACTGGTGAAAAAAGGATGAATAAATATAAAATGTTTGAATAGTATTATATATTTTTTTTAATAATATTTTGAAAAATTATTTTTAACCTAAAATATAGATAGATAGATAGATTTTATTTTTGATTTTATATTTATAAATATGATTCCTATTTTTGTAATTAAATAAATTAATTATAAAAAATAAAAAAATTAAATTTACTTAAATAAATTAAATCCTCTCTTCAGCAAACCCTATTGTTTCTCCAAAAACGATCAATTAATTTGAAACTTTTAGTGTTATATTACATCTTATTAAATTATATAAATGCCAAACTTTTATATGCCAGTTATATTTTAATCTTAAATATTATTCATCAATCATATTTCTATCCTTTATTTATTTATCCTGATTAATTAGATGACATGATTTAAATAAAACCTCAGGGATAAATCAAGTTTTACTTTTTATTTAACTTTTGTGGTAAAAATGTTTTTTTTGTTTGTTTTTTTTTCTCAAATTTTTAATTTATCTTATGATCATTTTTTTCATTTTATATTTTTTAAAATCATAAAATAATTGTTTTTAAATTATCATTTATTCATTCAGACAATACAAATTTGATTTTTTTATTTAATAATATTTAGAGTAAATTAATGAATTTAAAAGTCCTTAATGTTGAATTTGGTTTTTTATAAGTCTATTTCATTTCAAGAATTTATCTAATTTTTTTAACACAATATTATAAATTTTAAAATGCTTATTTTATTTTTTTATTATAAAATATTCTCTAAATATTCTAGAAAAATGCAAATTATTTTTAAAATTATTATCAATTAAATTATTAATTAATTATAATTCTATTAAAAATATATATATATATATATAAATCAGAAATTTTAATAAAAATAAATAAAAAATATATTTAATTATAAGTGGCAGGCAAACCAAGAAATTTTAGTATGGCATCTAGCTATAATTAGAGATATTATAAATATTCCTAAAATTACAGAGCTAAAATAGAAAAATCTACTTATAAAAATTATTTTTATAATATTTAAGAACATTAACTACTAGGCTTTTTACAAAAATGACTAAATAAATAACTGGCTGTCTCTAATTCCTACTATATTTTTAAGTATATGTTTTAAATACAAATATTAAGTTTAAATAGTGAATGTTAAATTAATTTTTCTGTGATATCTCTTCATAAAACCAAATATATAAATTAATATTTGATAATTAATTAATTAATTATTATTTTTATTTATTCTTTTTATACATTTATAATTAATTAATTAATTAAATTTCATAAATTGCTATTCAATATTTTTGAAGAAAAAAAAATAAATGATATAATAGATTAAAAATTATAATAATTTAGAAGAAGTAATTATTAATTTTTTTATTAATATCCTTTAAATTTATATAAATTAATAAAAAAAGTTTAAAAGCTCTTCACTTTTATCTCATTATGTTCTCCATATTAATCTTCGGTATATTTAATTAAAAAATATTATTTTTATTATTATTGATATTTTTTGTATATTTAATTTTCAATTTTTTAAATAAATAATTTTATAAACTATTTATTTGTATATTTTACATTGTAATATTTTTAATTATAAATGTTAATTTAAAACACTATAGTTCTTTTAATTTTTTAGATTTGTTTTTCTTTTTTCTTTTTATTATGATTTCTTATTTTTTCATTCTTTGTTAATTTTATTAATTAATCTTATTATTTCATATTTTTTCTTCATTTTTTCCTCCTAATTAACTAGAGTGAATACCTATTTAATTTATATCTTAATAAGATTATAAATTAAGCTAATTTTTAGAAATTATAACATATCTTTTTTTTTGAAAAAAATAAATTTTGAAAATTTAGGATGGAAAAAAATTCATAAAAAAATTAATAATTTTAATTTTATAAAATGTAAAAATTTGGAAATAAAACTCGCTTTTTATAATTTTTTATGGTAACTTACTCTATTTAATGATATATTTTTTCTTCATTTTTTCCTTCTAATTAACTATTTAATAATATATTTTTTCTTCAATATTTAAAAAGTGATAATTAAATTTGTGCAAAAGGTGCATCAGGCTTAAGTTCTGCTTTAGCAAAGTGCATTAATCTCTCAAATTTGACACTTGACCTTAGGTAAAAATAGTTTATTTGTTTTGCATTGTGATATTTTTAATTATAAAAACTAATTAAAAACAATAAAGTTCTTTTTTCTTTTTCTTTTATTGTGCTTGCTTTTTTTTGTTCTTTCTTTCTTTGTTAATTTAACTCATCATTTTATTTTCAATTTTTACTTTTATTATTAATTTATTAATCTTATTATTTTATATTTTTTTTTCATTTTATCCTTCTAATTAACTATTTAATGATATATTTTTTCTTCAATATTTAAAAAGTAATAATTAAATTGGTGCAGAAGTTGCATCAGGCTTAAGTTCCGTTTTAGCAAATTGCAGTAATCTCTCAAATTTGACACTTAATATTGGGTAAAAACAGTTTATTTGTTTTGGATTGTGATATTTTTAATTATAAAAACTAATTAAAAACAATAAAGCTCATTTTTCTTTTTCTTTTATTGTGCTTGCTTTTTTTTTTCTTTCTTTATTAATTTAACCTATCATTTTATTTTCAACTTTTACTTTTATTATTAGTTAATAAGTCTTATTATTTCATATTTTTTCTTCATTTTTTCCTTCTAATTAACTATTTAATGATATATTTTTTCTTCAATATTTAATAAGTTAAAATTAAATTGGTGACAATGGTGCATCAGGCTTAGGTTCTGCTTTAGCAAAGTGCATTAATCTCTAAAATTTGACTCTTGAACTTGAGTAAAAACCATTTATTTGTTTTGGATTGTGATACCTTTAATTATAAAAACTAATTAAAAATAATTTTTCTTTTTCTTTTTATTGTACTTGCTTTTTTTTTTCTTTCTTTGTTAATTTAGCATATATTAGATAGTCAGAGACCTGACTCAACCCCAATTTTTTAGAGGAATTACAGTATATGTGTAAATTTATTATGGTGCATCAGGCTTAGGTTCTGCTTTAGCAAATTGCATTAATCTCTCAAATTTGACACTTTACCTTAGGTAAAAATAGTTTATTTGTTTTGGATTGTGATATTTTTAATAATAAAAATTAATTAAAATCAAATAAAGCTCATTTTTCTTTTTCTTTTATCGTGCTTACATTTTTTTGTTCTTTATTTGTTAAAATAGTTCATCATTTTATTTTCAACTTTTACTTTTATTATTAATTAATCTTATTATTTCATATTTTTTTCTTCATTTTTTCCATCTAATTAACTACTTAATGATATTTTTTTTTTAATATTTAAAAAGTTGTAATAAAATTCATGACAAAGGTGCATCAGGTTTAGGTTCTGCTTTAGCAAAAAGCATTAATCTCTCAAATTTGAAACTTTACCTTAGGTAAAAATAGTTTATTTGTTTTGGATTGTGATATTTTTAATTATAAAAACTAATTAAAAACAATAAAGCTCTTTTTTCTTTTTCTTTTATTGTGCTTACTTTTTTTGTTCTTTGTTTGTTAATTTAGCTCATCATTTTATTTTTAACTTTTACTTTTATTATTAGTTAATAAGTCTTATTATTTCATATTTTTTCTTCATTTTTTCCTTTTAAATAACTATTTAATGATATTTTTTTCTTCAATATTTAAAAAGTTAAAATTAAATTGGTGACGAAGGTACATCAGGCTTAAGTTCTGTTTTAGCAAATTGCAATAATCTCTCAAATTTGACACTTAAACTTAAGTAAAAACAGTTTATTTGTTTTGAATTGTGATATTTTTAATTATAAAAACTAATTAAAAACAATAAAGCTCTTTTTTCTTTTTCTTTTTATTGTACTTGCTTTTTTTGTTCTTTCTTTGTTAATTTAGTTCTTCATTTTATTTTTAACTTTTACTTTTATTATTAATTAATCTTATTATTTCATATTTTTTCTTCATTTTTCCTTCTAATTAACTATTTAATGATATATTTTTTCTTCGATATTTAAAAAGTTCTAATTAAATTGGTGACGAAGGTGTATCAGGCTTAGGTTCTGCTTTAGCAAAGTGCATTAATCTCTCAAATTTGACACTTGATCTTGCGTAAAAACAGTTTATTTGTTTTGAATTGTGATATTTTTAATTATAAAAACTAATTAAAAACAATAAAGCTCTTTTTTCTTTTTCTTTTAATGTGCTTGCTTTTTTTGTTCTTTCTTTGTTAATTTAGCTCATCATTTTATTTTCAACTTTTACTTTTATTATTAATTAATCTTATTATTTCTTCATTTTTTCCTTCTAATTAACTATTTAATGATATATTTTTTCTTCAATATTTAAAAAGTTATAATTAAATTGGTGCAAAAGGTGCATCAGTCTTAAGTTTTGGTTTAGCAAAGTGCATTAATCTCTCAAATTTGAAACTTTACCTTAGGTAAAAATAGTTTATTTGTTTTGGATTGTGATATTTTTAATTATAAAAACTAATTAAAAACAAATAAAGCTCTTTTTTCTTTTTCTTTTATTGTACTTGCTTTTTTTTGTTCTTTCTTTCTTTGTTAATTTAGCTCATCATTTTATTTTCAACTTTTGCTTTTATTATTAATTAATCTTATTATTTCATATTTTTTCTTCGTTTTTTCCTTCTAATTAACTATTTAACGATATATTTTTTCTTCAATATTTAAAAAGGTTTAATTAAATTGGTGACGAAGGTGTATCAGGCTTAGGTTCTGCTTTAACAAAGTGCACTAATCTCTCAAATTTGAAACTTTACCTTAGGTAAAAATAGTTTATTTGTTTTGGATTTTGATATTTTTATTATAAAAACTAATTAAAAACAATAAAGCTCTTTTTTCTTTTTCTTTTATTGTGCTTACTTTTTTTTGTTCTTTCTTTGTTAATTTATTTCATCATTTTATTTTCAGCTTTTACTTTTATTATTAATTAATCTTATTATTTCATATTTTTTCTTCATTTTTTCCTTCTAATTAACTATTTAATGATATATTTTTTCTTCAATATTTAAAAAGTTAAAATTAAATTGGTGACAATGGTGCATTAGGTTTAGGTTCTGCTTTAGCAAAGTGCATTAATCTCTCAAATTTGAAACTTTACCTTTGGTAAAAATAGTTGATTAGTTTTGGATTGTGATATTTTAAACTATAAAAATGAATATAAAACAAAAAAGCTCTTTGAATTTATTTGATATCTTTATTTATTTTATTTTTTTATCTTTTTTATTCCACTAATATTATTTTATTTATTAATATAAAGAATAATTTTTAATTTAAAAGTTTATTGTATTTTGATATTTATCTTAAAATTTACACAAATTTATTTTAAAATTTTTAGCTTTTTGAATAAATTATTAGAATTCAAAGTAATAAGCAAGTGTCGTAAATCAAAAAGATTAGTTGTCTTTGGTTTCAAATTAAACAACTGGTGAAAAAGTGATGAATAAATATAAAATGTTTGAATAATATTATATATTTTATTAAATAATATTTTGAAAAAGTTTTTTTAACCTAAAATATAAATTGATAGATAAAAAGATTTTATTTTTGATTTTATATTTATAAATATGATTCATATTTTTGTAAGTAAATAAATTAATTACAAAAAATAAAAAAATTAAATTTACTTAAATAAATAAAATCCTCTTCAGCAAACCCTCTGGTTTCTCCAAAAACGATCAAATAATTTGAAACTTTTAGTGTTATATTACATCTTATTAAATTATATAAATGCCAAACTTTTATATGCCAGTTAAATTTTAATCTTAAATATTATCCATCAATCATATTTCTATCCTTTTTTTATTTATCATGATTAATTAGATGCCATGATTTAAATAAAACCTCAGGGATAAATCAAGTTTTACTTTTTATTTATTTTTGAAATTATTATCAATTAAATTATTAATTAATTATAATTCTATTAAAAATATATATATAAATCAGATATTTTAATAAATAAATAAAAAATATATTTCATTATAAGTGGTAGGCAAACCAAGAAATTTTAGTATGGCATCTTGCTATTATTAGAGATATTAAAAATATTCCTAAAATTAAAGAGCTAAAACAGAAAAATCTACTAATATACATTATTTTTATAATATTTAAGAACATTAACAACTAGTATTTTTATAAAAATGACTAAATAAATAACTGGCTGTCTCTAATTCCTACTATATTTTTAAGTATATGTTTTAAATACAAATATTAAGTTTAAATAGTGAATGTTAAATTAATTTTTCTGTGATATCTCTTCATAAAACCAAATATATAAATTAATATTTGATAATTAATTAATTATTATATTTATTTGTTCTTTTTATCCATTTATAATTAATTAAATTTCATAAATTGCTATTCAATATTTTTAATATTTTTGAAAAAAAAATAAATGATATAATAGATTAAAAAATATAATAATTTAGAAGAAG